CTATTTATTATATATATATATATATATATATATACAATTGCATAATGATTGTAGCCGAATCGCTGGTGAGTTATGCCGGCGAGAGATTTGATTTTATAATCGAGATGAACCAACCAGTTGACAACTATTGGATGAGATTTCGAGGATTGATGGATTGCGACGAAAGATTTTTGAGTGCCTATCAAGTTGCAATATTGCGATATGAAGGCGCACCTGAAGAGGAACCGGAGGTAGAAGTTTCATATGATCGTGTAAGAAACGATTCTTATGGATTGGTACGTACATAGATGTTTTTTATGATCTTCTAATGATGTCTTTCAAATAATTTCTAAGATATCTTCGTCTCGAGTTTTTTTAAATGGAATTAAAAATGTAATATTCCTGATTTCAGCAAGTAAATGCTTTAAATGAAGGAACTGAATCGAACAATAGCATTAGTATACCTTTATTAAATGCGATGGACGACGATGACGCTTCCAACACCAGAAAACCTGATTATCAATTTTATATATCATACGATTTTTACGGAAAAGATAACCCGAATTTTCATCGAAAAAATTTGTATGGCTTTCAGCAAGGTAAATATATTCAAATATTCTAAAAAGTAAATTAAACAGAAAATTTAACTAAAAATGATAATTAAACGAACAAAATTATTAATTTTTTAACAAAATATTTAATGTAACTTTTATAATATTATAAACTATTTCGATAAATTTTTAGCAAAACATAAAGTGTTTACACCACAATTGAATCATATATCGATGAAGTTACCGCCATTTCCACTCTTGCCTGAAAGAGACTTAATTAAGCCGGATCAGTTTTGCAACGCCAGCACAGTTAAAGGATGCGAGAATGATTATTGCGCTTGTACTCACGTGCTTCAGGTTAAGCTTAATAGCGTGGTAGAACTGGTTCTGATTGACGAAGGTACGTACGAACAATAAATACTTTTTTCGTATTTCCAATTTAAAATCCGTCTAAATCATCGTAATTAATGATCCTTGACAGGAGTTCCGTATGACGCAAATCATCCCTTCCACCTTCACGGATATCAGTTCCGCGTCGTGGCTATGGAGAGGATAGGATCTAATACTACCGCTGCTGAAGTGAGGGAATTAGACAGGCAAGGTTTGATATATAGAAAACTCGCACGGGCACCTCTGAAGGACACAGTGACCGTGCCCGACGGTGGTTACACCATTGTGCGATTTTACGCTGATAATCCAGGTGAGACTTACAATAGTATTCCTTACAATAATTTTCATTAGAACAGCAAAAAAATTTTAAAAATATCGATATAGTAAATAATCGAATTGATCAATATTTTGTTTAAATAATCTTCAGGATATTGGCTGTTCCATTGCCACATTGAGTTTCACGCGGAGATAGGAATGTCGCTAATCTTCAAAGTTGGCGAAAATGAAGAGATGCCGCCGGTGCCCCGTGATTTTCCTAAATGCGGTGACTGGAAACCGATAAACGATAATAATGACAAGAATTCGGAGAGTAGTACAATTTTAACGATGACCGAAAATAAGGAATCAAAACTTGATGAGCGTCTCACAAGCATGATAAAGCAATTCTCAATATATATGACGTATTTTGAGCAGCTCTTGAAAGCACAGACATCCTCGGCGTCCAATTCGAGTATAACATTGCTGGTTTTTATTACTTGTCTTTTGAGCTCTGTGATTCATGTACAAACATTTTAAGTCTCATCTAAATATCGAACTTTAAACGAAATATAGAAATTTAAATGATATTTGCGATTACGTTAGGCAATTTTTTATCGATGATGAACGAACGTTACGATAATAAATGACTTATACTTCTGTGATATAACAATAGATATAATTATCCTATAATTCTCAGATTGCTGATTGCACTGTCCGCGACATATATAATTTCCTAATTTAACTCTTATTAATTTCAGTGACGATCGATTTTACATACATAGCATAATAGATGTATTCTCAGTGAGAGTGTCATGAGATAATATATTTTATGATTCAAAAAAAAGGAGCTGATGAACTAGTAAATAAGTTTCAGAGGAAAAAATATGATAATAAAATATATTATTAAATTAATTTTAAATAGAGAATTTTGGACGAAATTATTAATTTTAATTATAAATATAATATCAAAGTTGCTGTGCATCTTTTTTTTAGGAGAAATTGATCAAACTTTAAATGGACCAAAGAAATCTACTATTAAAATATAATCCAATAAAGATAGGAACATTCTGTTAATTGTTACTGATGTATCGTTGTACTTCTTATGATATTTGATCATATATACATAATATTGTATACATAATATTTAATCTAACATAATCGACAGATCATTTGTAAGCGCGATATCAACTAAATGAATGTATGTTTCTTTATTTCGTGCATGTGTGTGTATTCTTATCAGACTTTTAAAAATATACAGAACAAAAAATCTACATTTTTTTCATTTAATTTAAAAACTTCTATCCCGATGTTTTTGTTAAGAAAAAATTAGTACAACATGTACAACATTTTGTAATATTTAAAAATTCGCAGAATATGTATTAGTTATACATATAAAAGTTGTTATACATATAAATCCACCGTTTATAAAAATCTATTTAAACTCGAGCCTCAGAATCCAAAAGATGGTTCAAAGAATATCCCGAAATAAACTTTCACATACGATCGAGTTCTGATACAGTGTCACGATATTTATTACACTCGTAAAAATATTTCTTATTATGCTTATCTCTTTTTATTGAGACCGTTCTCCGCAGCATACATGCATCTATATATATTTATACGTATTAACGAAGGCTTGCCTGGTACAGCACTCGGGTATTCCCCGATGAGTTTCCGCTATGCCATCATTGCACGGTGTGTCGTCTGTTTTTATCAGGAAAGCCCATCATTTGATTATTATTATCCAGACATATTGGCAACGGATAATGTGCAGTTCCTTTCTTATTTAATTTTCCTTCCGTTTTCCGACTCTTTTAGGGACACATATTCAACAGTAATATTTGAGAGTATGTCATACGATGCCCGAGGACGTTGTCATTTCTGCTACAAGAGACACATCGTACCGGTATTCGGAAGCGACGAGGAAGCACACATACTCCTACAAAAATCGAATTTGAGACTTGTGGTAAGCCCAATTGTACAATAAACTGTCAGCGAGAAGCATACCGCTTTTGATTGCTCTTTAAATATATCAATTCCATAGAGTTTAAAAATTTAAAAAATTTTTTGTATCACATTTAAATGGACAATAATTACAAAAATGTGAATACTATAATATTAATTATAATAATTTATATTTGTAATATAAAATTATTATTTATAAATTATGTTTTAAGACAAAAATGTTTAAATGTTTAAATTACTCAAACATATATGCTAAACAAAGTGAAATAGAGCAAAGTCGATTATTTTTGTATTAGTCTTTGAAAAGATTTTCATTAAATCTATCCATCTTTTAGAATAAAAATAAATGTTATAACGTATAAAATTGTGTAATAGAGAAATTTATTGAACTGTCATATTTTTATAACATTCATTGTATTATATTTCTGTTATGTAATACTTCCAAGATAACATAAATCATATCACATTGTATTTATCTCTAGAAACCATAAAAAATATCTTACACTAAATGAAGTGTATTACGCATTTAGAAAAATCGATGGACAATTAAGTGTATATGCTCCTTTATCTTATTATATCTTATATTAATAGATTTTTACAATTTTAATATTCTATCTTTGTCTGTACTTAGGTTTTGAACACAGTTTGTTCTCCTTGCATTATTAAACTCCAAGATATTCTCAGAATGAGTTTTCCCGATTTACCTCTCGAACGGATAACTGTTAAAAAAGGTCATACCGAGAGTTCAATGGATTATCAAAGTACCAGCAATTTAAACGTAATGAAAAAGTTGCAAGTCGACGAAAATTTTCAAATTCATGGTCATAAATCCACAGAAGCTGATATTAAAGTTAAAAGAAATATCGCATCTATTGATACAAAATACGAGACTAATATCGATAATTCCGTACAAGTTCCCGAAAATGTAGAAGATATAAAAAAGAAACAATTGACATGCGAGTTCTGTCAGAAGGAATTCAATCACGCAGGGGATCTCAACAAACATAGGAGGAAGCACACCGGCGAGCAACCTTACGCGTGTAATAAATGTGAACGAAAGTTTGCGACATCGTCTAATCTCGTCAGGCATCAACAAATACATCTTGGAATAAAATCATTCCGCTGTCAAATTTGCGAACGTACTTTTACCCGAAAAATCAAACTATCTGCCCATTTAGTAGCAAAGCATCATGAAGCTTTGAAGTCTAATTAATCAATGACATAATGCGATATAAATTATATGTAAAGTACAATACAAATATAAAAAGTATTAATGGATTGTAATAATACATAGCATAAGAGTTAACAAAAATAATGTTATTATAAAAGAGAAAAAAATAATAGAATACATTTCAAAATGAAATTTTATATAGTATTAGTCCCCTAACACTTCAAAAAGACATTCATTAAGGAACAATTGCAGTTTTTACATGATTGATTTGCTAACATGCGTTTGATTTCCTTGCGCAGGACAGACTATCTTGTATAAATCTATATAAAAATAATTTTATTTATTTGACCGCGTTTGAACAATATATAATAATATAAAGTTTTTTTACTACATCTTTTCTAATAAACATAAATAAAATCGTTTAAAAGATGCTACTGGTCCGAGCAAATACGATATCGCTTTCGAATTATACCGCGTTAACAAAGCAGATTTGATTCGGCGGAAAATACGCGAATCTTTCCACCAGAATAAGTTGCCTGCTAACAAACGTACACGGCACTATACATTAGTATGCACTTCTTGATTGGCTGTCATTGAGTAAAGAGTATATGAAGCGTCCTTTTGTGGTGGTCGCTGCAAAGGATGCGCCAGTAGTTTCGCCATATTATCATGTATCTTGGCAGCATTTCTGCCTACCTCGAAGATATAAGAAAAACTCGTTGTGTCTAGAGCTGCGATTTCGGCGTATACTGCCTCACACATGTTGTCATCGCTGGGCGGCTCGTGAGCAAACAACACATCCAGGAAGAAGTATGGATTCTCTGTTAGAGTTTCCAGATACGTCTGTCCAGTGTGGAATTTCGGGACGGAGTTTGATCGTCCATATATTAGAATAACGCGCGAAGTGAATGTCGGTTGACTTCTCGCTGGCGTTGCTATCTGCATCTGTATTGCCTCAAACAGCAGCCCCAAATCGTAGGTTTTCTGTTCCTCGTCCAGCACATCCTCTACGATACCTTCCAGATAATTAAGGACGATCTTGGTGTTGCTGGTGTAATCACAGAGCCAGGAAGAGCCACGAGAGTCTAGGCTCATCAATGCGTACTCATGTACTCCAGGCTGTATTGTAGACTTGGCGCCAATAAAGTTTTCCACCACACGCTTTATCATGAACAGCGGCGGATATGTCGCACCTGTGCCTAATTTGAAGGGAGTGCACTGCTGTTCTCTCACTGTATCGATGACAAATAGAATTTTCTCAGGTAGATTAAGTTCGGGTACGTTCCTCAAGAAGATATAATCATCTGTGGTAGTCGTCGTGGTAGTGGTCGTGGTTGTAGTGATAGCGACTGCCTTTTTGCTATCTGAGGATTGACGTGCCGCACTATTATTATTATTGGTTTTCTGCGAACCCTTGCCCTTCTGCTGTTGTTGTGACTGTGCATTATTGTACTGTGCTGGTTCGATGGTCGTAGCGGCTTGAAGTCTCTCGGATATCACCTGAATCTCATCGGTTATCTCCTTATCTGACATATTTATATCCTGCAAGTATCCTCGAGCGACAGGTAAACTTAACCTCTCTCCGCCACTTGAGACGATAATATCTTGCCTTGCCTTGCTTTGTCTCGGGCAATAAATGTCTCGGAATATTTTGAAGAAATTCGGAGATTTCACATAGCGCGTAAATTTCGCGCGATATTACATAAAATAAAATCGAACTGTCTACCTAATGATGTTACGCAGTGACGTTTGAAGCGAACCTATGTCCGTTAGGAATGCAACTTGAAATGCATAGAAAAATGCAATCGATGCATGCGCCATCCAGCGACTGCAGCTTGCATTCATGTCCAATCCCTGAAAGATACGTTCCATTTGATGCTCGTAACGCTCTTAAAATTAATTTTACTCTGTTGTCTATCGAATGTTAAACAAAGACAAATGATGTTTATGATTTAGGGCTCTCCCACACTGAACGCAACGAGCGACGAGCGATGAGCGATATCCAATGAGAGCTTTGCTTTTTCAAACGTCTATCCATCCATGCATACTGTGGCGCCATCATTATTGCTTTATATTTCAGGTTGTACTCGACCACGTGTGTTTGTTACATGAAGTCTTTGATTCTTTCGCGCTTGAATTTCGCCGAATAATTTTTAACATAATATTAGAACTTATATTACAACTCGAAGAAATGTCTGTACCTGAGAAAGTGTTGATGCGAAAGATCAAGAAACGGGAAAAGACGAAATTGACTGTGTTAAAACGTCTAGAAGAACAGAAAGAAAGCGAGCGTGCTAATCTTCGAGGTTAGATTTAAGATGAAAATATATTTTTTGGAAATTTGCTGATTGTTGTCTTTAAGAGAACATTAATTAAATCATTACTTTTAACAAATAATTGATAATTATTTGAAAAAATAATTATAAATTATTAAAATTAATGATTTTTAAAATTTTTTAACATATATCCTTTTATATCTTAAGTAAAATTTATTTCTTATAGATGCGATTGAATCGGAGAAGATAACTGATATAAATCAGCAGTTTACAGAAGACGTTCCTCCAGAAAGTAATAATTTATTTTAATACATTTAATTTATTTTAATATATATTTTTAAAATCTGGATATTTTATCTAGATATTTTTTTATTACAAATAGTAATATTTCATATGACCTGTTTCATTGAAAAGTTAATAATATTAGCTATGTTAATTATTGTTATCTTAATTTTTATTATATAATAATAACAATGTATTTCTCCATTTTAGAAAAAAGAAAAGTTAAAATATCTGAAGAAAATGAAAAGTCAGAGATAATAAAAAATTCGGTGGTTACTGAAAATTGTAAGTATTTTTAATATAATTCTAATATTGTGTGTGATATGCAATCTAATAATGTATTGACATATATTTCATTTAGTACCTGGAACAACTATAGGTTTTGAAGTGACGAATGATACAAGTTTCTCAGTATTAAGTGAGAAAGTATGTGAAAACACTCTGAAAGCAATAAAAGATATGGGTTTTACAAATATGACAGAAATACAAGCAAAAGCTATTCCTCCTCTTTTAGAAGGCAGAGATTTAGTTGGTGCTGCCAAAACTGGATCTGGCAAAACTTTAGCATTTCTAATTCCTGCTGTTGAATTAATTTATAAATTAAAGTTTATGCCACGTAATGGTATATCATTTTTATATTCTGATGCTCTACATAAAATCAAGAAAAATAAGATCTAATAGATAGATATTTCAGGTGCTGGATGTATTATTATGTCCCCCACAAGAGAACTATCTATGCAAACTTTTGGAGTCTTGAAAGAATTGATGAAATATCATTATCACACGTATGGTCTGCTGATGGGCGGTGCCAATAGGCAAATTGAAGCGCAAAAGCTTGCAAAAGGAATTAATATTATCGTAGCAACACCAGGACGATTATTAGATCATTTGCAAAACACACCGGATTTCTTATACAAGAATCTCCAGTGTTTGATTATCGATGAAGCCGACCGTATTCTGGATATTGGTTATGAAGAAGAGTTGAAGCAAATTATTAACATCCTTCCTAGTTAGTTAGATATCCCGAAATAAGAATATTAAAATCAAATTATATATTTCTTTCTATTATTATATGAATTATTGTTGCAGAACGTCGGCAGACTATGCTCTTCAGTGCGACACAAACACAAAAAGTAGCGACGATAACAACATTGGCTTTAAAAAAGGAGCCTATATATGTAGGAGTCGATGACGATAAGGAAATGGCGACTGTAGAGGGCTTACAACAAGGCTACGTAGTATGTCCAAGCGAAAAAAGATTTTTACTTTTATTCACATTCCTAAAAAAAACAAGCAGAAAAAAATAATGGTTTTCTTCAGTTCTTGCATGTCCGTTAAATATCATCACGAACTCTTGAACTATATCGATTTACCAGTTCTGAGTATTCATGTAAGTTATTAGACAGACTTTTCGACACTATTAGTAATTACAAGATTTTCTTCTGATTTGATATTTGTATTCTTGTTGACAGGGTAAACAAAAACAGGCGAAAAGAACTACGACATTCTATCAGTTTTGTAATGCTTCTTCCGGAATTTTACTTTGCACTGATGTGGCCGCGAGAGGTTTAGATATACCGGATGTTGATTGGATCGTGCAGTATGATCCACCGGATGATCCAAAGGTAAACATTCTCAAAATTTTGCCTTATTGCCACTAAAATAACAGAAAGTCAATATAAATTTACAATTGAGAGATACAAATTTATAATACTGAATTATACTTAACTTTTAGGAATATATCCATCGTGTAGGTCGGACTGCTCGCGGAGAAGGTAGCAGTGGTCATGCTTTATTGATATTGCGACCGGAAGAACTTGGTTTTCTTCGTTATCTCAAGATAGCTCGTGTCCCCGTGAATGAATACGAGTTTTCTTGGAATAAAATCTCCGATATACAATTAAAGTATATATATATATATATATATATATACATACATAATATATATATTATAATTTTTCTTTTAGTTTGTTCTCTCTCTCAATTTTTATATGAAATCTTTGAATAAGTTGAAATAAGAAGCTTGGAAAAATATTGAAACATCTTCATGTCACTGCATTTTAATAGAGAAATCAAAACTATTTAATTTTTACTCATTTAACCAATATCTTTGCATATTTTAGAAACGATATTAAATATTGTTTGTGTTTTTTTTTAGCTTGAAAAGTTGATTTCGAAAAATTACTTTTTACACCAATCAGCGAAAGAAGCATTTAAGAATTATGTCAGAGCATATGATTCTCATCATCTGAAACAAGTCTTTGATATAGAGACCTTAGACCTAGCAAAAGTCGCTAAATCATTTGGATTCACTGTACCGCCAGCAGTAGATTTGAGTAAGAATTTTTTTGATTCAACATAAAGAGTTATTATATATCATAATAAAAATGTATATATGTGTTAATTAATTAAATAGCAATTTTTTATTTAATTCCAATTGCTCATTATAGAAGTGGGAATCAGTAAAGCTTCACGACCACGAAAAAGGCTTGGTGGAGGCGGTTATGGACATTTCAAAAACATAAATGATCCAAATTCAGCAAAACAAATGAAGCGCACGAAGACGTTTCGTCAAGTAGGCAAATGTAAACAAGACAATCGGCAATTTAGCAGATAATTATTAATCATTTATTATTGTGTAGCTTGTAATATTAAATTAGAAATGTATGCGATGTTAAAAAACTGTAATTCACTTAGTTGTTATTTAATTCCTATCTATTATTGAAAATAAATAAGTGAGGTAGTTTTTTTAATATTTGAAATATTGATTTACATATTACATCTTACTTATTTACATCCTCTCGGTAAAT